ACAAGCTGTATGTTCTTACCAAACATGGACTCTGTAGAGACAACCACAATAGCACCATAGGTTAGTCTCCAGTTGGAGTTGGAAGGAAAGACACACTAATACTAATCGACACAATAACGGTCATTTAGTGCAAGAAGAGAGAGTGAGATAGACTGACTGACGGAGACATGAGAAGGCAGGACTATTTTTAAAAGAAAGAGTGTATGGAGACATGAGAAGAAAGGACTATTTTTTAAAGAAAGTGTATGGAGACATGAGAAGGAAAGGATTATAAAAAAAAGTGTATGGGTTTAACCCCTGTGTCAACATTAACTTACTTATGATGAGGGGTGACCTTTGATTTTAACATCCAACTTTCATAGAACCAAGTCCAATATGTTGAGAGCAGAGAATGAAGAGAGAGAGAAAAGTGAAGAAGAAAAAAAAAGTAAGACCTACCAAAAGTTCCCTTAAAAAAAGAAAAAGACGAGCTCAAGACAGAATTATGCCCCCCCCCCCCCTCAAATGTTGCGCTTGGGAGGGAGGGTGTGAGTATGAGCAAAAATGATAAGATTTGGGGTAAACTTTATTTGTGCAAAGTTTAAGAGAAATTAGCCGAAAAGATGGCAGAGTTATTACCCTTTAAATGGGTCCTTTTTTTTCTTTGTAAGACAACCCTTATATAATGTAGATACAGTAAATCACACAACATCCACCATAAACAAACATACATTGTGCCTGACATTTTTTTTAAAGTATAAAATCTCAATAAAACAATCACAAAAAGTTTTGATTATAAAAAACAAATATATACCATTTCACTTCTAATAAAACCAGTTGCAATACAACAGCAAAGTGCCTACAAGAAGAATATTCACCACAAAAATAGTTATTGTTTGTTTGTTTTAGTATAGGTTTACGGCGCTCGCAACTGTATAAGGTCATATGAGCGCCAGAAGATTAGTAAAGGTGTTACAAGAATGTAACAAACATAAAAAAGAAGAAGGGGAGATAAGGACAATATATATGTTTGATAGGAAAGAAGAAACAAACCACACCAGAGCACCCGCCAACCACCCACAAAATTTGTTCTTGGCTAACAGCAGAATTGTTTCTATGATGAAGAAAAAGGTCAACTCTTTCCTTTGTTCTAAAACTATTACCGAGGTCCACCTGTGGCTCCTCAATAGAAAAAACAAGAAATCAGCGGGTGCTATAAATAGTATAAACGTATTGTCGGCTGATCTTTGTGTCTTTCCTCATCAGCTAAATGAGTTTTATTTTTTTCAAGTTGAAGGAACAATTTTTCAGAAACCAGTTCAAAAGTTAGAACTTAACGCCTGTGATAACCCCGGAAGATCTAAGAAAAAGACTTTATTGGGAGAAAAAACATTATGCGAGTGGTGCTGACAAAATGAGCTTCTTCTGGTATTTTAGCCTTTTATGGACATAGATAGATTGGCCAGATCTGCAGGGATATGACGGCATAACTGGTGAGAGTGTGTGTGTGAGTGTGTGTGTGTGTGTGTGTGTGTGTGTGCGTGTGTGT